AAACGTACAGGCAAACTTGCACATCCTAGAGGTAAGGATGTGCTGGCGTTTTTTTTTTTGAATCAGAGAAAATATTGTTTCCTCTGAGATCTTATACTCTGGTAAAATATATAAAACAATTTCATTATTACAGGGTTTACCGACAGGTGAATACGTTTTTGAATCAGTAAATGTAACATTAAAACCCGAACTAACATTTATAAACAACAGACATGCATAGGCTGTTGGATCCTCAAGGTGTTACAGTGCCAGATAAGTCATACCATTTATGGCAACTTCTGTATCCCACCCACTTATAAAAGCAAATTGCAGAGGGTCTAGATTGGGATTTATCTCTGACTTCAGAATAGACACAATATATTTTCAAAACATTTCATAAAAACTGAAGTTGAAACAGCAGGTTTAAATAAATTGTTCAGGGTTTTTTAGCCACTGGGACTAACAGAGTGATAGGGTATCAAGCTTGTGTGAGCTCCTCTGAGACCTCTTCAAAAAAAAGAGCTGAAATGCCATCTGGACCCGCAGATTTATTCTTCTTAACCCTACTAAAAAGAGTGTTCTTACTTTTTGTGGATCAGCTTCCAACCTAGTACACATTATCCATCCATCCATTTTCTATACAAGCTTTATCCCAAGTGGGGTCGCCAGGAATGTTGGTGCCTATCTCCAGCTGTCAATGGGCGAGAGGCGGGGTACACCCTGGACAGGTCGCCAGTCCATTGCAGTAGTACACATTATCAATACTTAAAATGGATTTTAAAATATCTGCAGATTCCACAGAGACATCCTGAATTTTAGATCTCAGGTAAACATAATTTAGCTAATTCGTCTGCATTTTATCATTGTTTGTTACAAGGCTTTTTCTTTTTGTTGTCATAGTAGCTGCCATTTTTAAAGATACCCAAAGTTTTTTTGGAATCCATTAAGACCAAATTCTGCTTGATGCTATCCTTATACCTCTTCCCTGATTCCTTAGTATCTGACTGGCTTACTTCAAATCTGACAGAGCACTTTTGTGTAATTTAGGTTTGATTACCAAAATTGTTTCAAACTTGCTAAATGAGAGATTAATGACAGGAATTTGTTTCAACTGATGGATCTTGCGCCATCAGTTAATTGAAATCAGTGTTGGAGCTAGACGGTTGTATGAAGGAGAAATCTGAAATCAGGCGTCCCTTCAGATGACTGACATGCCTCCTGTACATCCTTGCAGTTCTTGGTGCATCGAGGTGGAAACAGTGCAATTAAATTAAGCAAAGATACAGTGACTTAGATAAAAATGTTACCCATACTTATATAATTGTTACCAATACACAATTTTACCCGAATAAAAAATAAAAAATAGCAGAAAAAACAAACAAACAATTAACATGATTTTGTTGCTTTTCATAACATTTTAGTTTTCTGGTGATTCTGATCTTTTCTCAATATACCCATCATCCTTATGTCCAATAGTTTTAGATAACACACTCTGAAGTAAAATCCAACTGTACTGAATAATTATAAATAATAATATTGTTTGCATTCTTTGCCAAAATAATATACAGCATGTTTATATGGTCATATTCTTAAATATAACTGGTTATGTTCAACCTCCAGTGTTATATAATTAAAAGGTTGCAATCAATCAACCAACGCTAGGAATAACTTTGCATTGTATAGTAGTACACAAGAGAGGAGTACTGTAACATAAATGCAAAAACTGAGGAAAGAATTGCAGAAAAGGTGAGATGGGAAAGAAAACTATATGTTTTTTAGGAAAAAGACATCAAGAGGAGATAACTGGAATGAGCAGAAAGCAGGACAGAGTAATACCAAAACTTACATATCAAATCACATAAAATTCTTAATTCTATACTTATCTAAATATAAAGCATAACAAAGGCCACTTTAGGGAGAATGAAACAATAGAATATTTAATATACATATAATATACTGTATATGGTTGGATGGTAACTGGCATGTATTTGTTTAGGACTTTATTTTTTTTCTCTGTTTTCATGATAATAATCTCTATATCACTTTATATACACATATTAATATGATGACTTATGTGACGTTGTGTCAGAAATCTTATCCCTTTGTGCCTAACTTGTATTTAAATACATAAAAAGTTTAGAAACTCTAATTACAACTGAGTGCTTCGCCGCTGCCTGAAAGTTGTATGCAAGTTTAAAACAAAAATCCCCTTCCAGACATCATGGTTGAATTCCTTTATTTTTCTCACAATGTCAAAGATGTAAGTTATGTGCCTGAGACGTTACCTTATCAACACATGTGCTTACCACTCACAATGTGTTATATATCAACTTCAAAATTTATAGATTTGAGATGACATTGTAGATGGATTCATATAAGTGGTTTACCATCTTCTTTGAAACACATGACAAAAATATAACATTCAAATTATTGTCATACATAAGAAGAAAGATTTCTGAATCTAAAGCCACAGGTAAATGTGATGATTTACTTCAAATGGTTTCTTACCGCCCTTGAAATGTTGAGGAAAAATAATGTATCTTTAAGCATAGACAGACAGCAGACTAGGCAGAAAAGAAAAGAATAATGTAAAGACTGTGCAGGGCTGCAAAAAAAAAAAAAAAAAAAAAAAACAGGCTTCTGCAGTTGTAAGGATGTAACCATGGTAACAAGATTAGGATGAGTCAGAGTTGATAACTTTTACATCTGATTGTGAGCTGAGTAAAGGTCAAAACAGCGTGTGATTGAGGATGAGCCTAACAGTTTTCCCACTGTTTGTAGTCATGCCCCACCGAAACATTAATACAGAGAATCAATTAAATAACTTCAAGGGTCCCCGTATAAAATAGTTTTTATTTAAAAAGAAAATGCTGCCACTCAGAGGAATCTCGCATTCCTTAGTGACTACGGTAGAAAACTTTATGCAGGAGAATGACTTAGACTTGGAACAGTGGAATTTCTATGGACGTTTCATAAGGATCCTGATCTACTTTATAGGCAAGTGAAGCAGGTCAGACCAGATCGGGAGAAGTTGGAGCACTCCATTGTGACTTCTCTGTGCTTAGAAGTTTTTGAAAAGGATGTATTTTCTATTTGTTCCCATATTGAAAGACTTGCCTTATTTTTCAGTGAAAATTTGCCATTAGCAGCTGCCAACAGCTGTTCCTTCATATTATTCCTGAGGAGCTGGCTTATTGAATCATAACTCTATGGTGTACAGTAGCTGTTTCATTTAATTTCCTCAAGTTAGAGGTCCAGGTATTCATCCTTGTACTGAATTACATATACCAAGTCACTCTGTTTGTGTAAAGGAATTTTGTCCTTAGGACACAGCCTCTGTCTGAGTATTTAGTTGGGTCTGAAGCACCCAGAATGTTGCATTTGGCAAAAATTCTTCACACTTTCTCAGATGTTTTTGAAATATAAGGGATATTACCTATTTCTTTGTTTAGTTCAGTGGTGTTGTTTTTTATTTACTTGCTGCCTCAACAATGAAGAGCAAAAGTCAAGAGCCTTCCACTACAGAAACTGAAGTCCATAATTTTTGCTTTTAAACAATTTTTTTATTTGCCCTGTCCTGCTTACCGGGATCTTTACCAGAATTGTGTGTAACAGCCAATTATCTGACTTAATTTAAAATCCTACACACAATAAATTACATCTTACCTTTCTTTCATTTCCATTTCATAGGATAAGTGTGAAGGGTGTGAAGTTACCATATAAACTGTTACTATATTATTTACAGATTATACAGAGCAGTTATGCAAACATTACAGCTGAGTACCCAATTTCTAAATATTATATATCATATAAACTTAAACATTAGTTACACAAATTTGACTCAGAAACAAAAACAAAAAAGGAGCCAAAAGCAAGATATTTACTGTGAAGTATACTTAAATAATAAAAAAATATATAATTTATAATATATTAAAAGTAAAATAATTTCTTATTAAAGTTTATCTCCTTTCAAGCCAAAGGTTACAATGTTAGACTTCTCTGATGCAGTGTGTGGAGTCTGTGTTTACTTCCTGGTTCCTGTGCACAGCATAGCATTTCAAGGAATTGCTAAAACAGAGTTCAGCATTTTGTATTCATGTTGGCAAAAAAGAGCAGCAGCCATCAAGCAGGATAGCTGGACAGAGATGCAAACCAGAAACACCTAAGAAGCTTCACCATCCTCCAGAAGCATTCGCAAGCCATCCAAAAGCAGACCCATCCAACCGACACAGTCCGGCAAAGCTTTCCCTAACTATGGAGATGCCTAACCTTTCCAAAACGCAGATCAACAGAGGTTACAAGACTAGCAAAGTTCGGGGAAGCATAACAAAATCAGTGAATTTAGGGGTCTTAGGGCCTAATTTAGATACACATTTTTTGTCAAATTGCTGGATCAGACCTCAGGTATTGTTGATGAATATTTCGGACAAATAGAGAAAAGGTTAAGAAAAATAGATACAATGACTACAATAAAGCACACAAAATCACATTTATTTTTTTCCTTTTACAAATAGAAATTAATAAAACTGATAAACAGGTTATTCTTCATTTACACACATCACAGGGCCACCACCAAATCAATTTTGCACAATGAGCCTTTCAGTGAAATATACTTCAATTTGCCACTTTGCTCAAAAGGTTTTTGATCATGAAGTTGGTTTAAAAATGTTTTAAATAAGATAGCATTACACTTTTTTATGTAAATATTTGTATGTAATTAATGTATATTTTACTTTTTATTTTTTATTTACCAAAATTCTCAAATACAGAGGGAACAAACCCCACAATGGTATGTGGGAACAAAATCTTTTATGAATTTATTATGGCAGGATTGTACATTTCTAAAGCTGCCATTAAAACTATTTATGTCTATATTTACCATTTTAGCTTCAGCCTCAAATCCTTACCTACACTTTTTATAATGATTGCACAGTAATCTCTGACACTGAGTTCAAGTCTTAAGCATGCACTGGCAGTCAGAATGAGAACAATTTGTCATACATGTTTTGTCCTTTGCTCACCTGAGTCGGAGCTGTACATGTAGACAAACCTGGTCCAGTAGAAGTGATCCAACAGGGCCATGAGGGGCTCCTGCAGCTGGGGCCGCAGCTGCAGGACAAACTGATTGTTGGTCTGAACAGGAAAGGATGGCGTCACGAAGCAAACGTGTAGAGAACCGCAGAAAGACATAAGCATGTTGACCGTCCTCCGATCATACAGGCCCATAATGGCGTACACACCCTTAGAGAACTGGGAGCAGACTGGAAGAAATGAGAGGGGAAATGGGAGGAGAAAGAAAATCTGGGTGAATTTCTTAAAATACATAAATGTTTACAAAAATATCAAGTGTCATTTCTAAAATGAGCTTTTACTCCTTTATGATTTCTAAAAAGGAAAACAGCAACAACAAAATGCCCCCACATTTGTTTCTTCACTGCCGTTACCTCTGGGCTTTATTTTCATTTACAAAACAATTGCTATATTAGAAAAACAAAACAAAAAAACATACCAAATATTTTATGTTTTGATTTGATTTACAAATTATGCTATCCAGATTCATAGTCCGCTATTTTTTTCCCCTTAAATTTAACATTGTGATACCTAAATAAGTCCTACTGGTCTTTCTTCTCTGTATGAATAAACTTGTATAACACTTTAGGTCACAGCTGAGAACAGCCTGCAGCTTTTCTAAAGGTATGAATTGTAATGCTACATAGTGTGGATGAAAAAGTTCAAATAAGGTCACTACATATCACATTCATATTCATATTTTCAACTGACTCACAAGGCTTCATTTTTCAACTTACAAGCAATAAAAAGTTTCCAGCATATACAGTACAGTATCTGCTCTGTGAGCATGGTGATATCAGTTTTCTGTCTTTGTGTTGATGTTATTTATAACTACCAGTTAAATGCATTGCAGCCACAGAGTCAGAGTACATCTCAACATAGAGATAGGAAAAACTATGAATGTTGTTTTGACTCCTATTTCTCTTACAACAAAAATACTCAGTTACGTCTGATGATTTTCACACTACTTACTGATTTAAATATAGAATTATTTTAATTCAACTAAGATGTTTAATCTCAATTTAAAAAATAAGATAATATAGCAATTTAAAACAAGTAAAAATATGTTTTATGTTTACACGATATCAAAAAAATATACAATTAAGATGATCTATATTATTTTCAATAATTAAGGAAAAAAATCATTAATGGCATAAAAGTAATGAAATCAGCTCTTTGGATGTTTGTGGATGTGTTTTAAAGACCAATCTTTAGCATTGAGCTTTAAGTCTTTAAAGTTAAATTTGCTGTATGTGGAAGATTTTGGAGTTTTACTGCTAGTATTAAGAAGGAAAAAAAAGCTGATGAGGACAGCTGGGAAACACATTTAAAAAATATAATATTTTGGGTTAATATTGGATTTTAAAGTTGGAACTGATTTTTTAAAATGCAAACAAATGTAATTACTGTCCCAGAAAGAAAATTGAAATGGCAGCTTAGGATATTATTTTTGTGGAATTTGGTTCATGAGATAGAGTCTCTTTTGTGTCTCTTTTATTTGGCCAAATTCTCAGGAATTTGGCCAAATAAAATATAAAAACTCTGGGTATCTTTTTTTAAAAATAGCACAAAGGAAACTTGTGAAGAGTCATTTTTTTTCCTAATTGCAGAAAAGCTAACTGAGACACAGATAACATTTAGTCCCTTTCTTAAACCAGTTCAAATTACTGTTTTTATACAGCAGTTTTTTGAGAGTAAAGTTTTCTCAATTCAGTGATAGGGTTAGATCAGCTTAGTTTCATTAGAGAGAAAACTAACCCTAACCTTTATGATTGATTTACCTGTCTTTGTAAAGTGCATTGAGATGATGTCTGTTGGGAATTGGCATCATATAAATAAACTGAATTCAAATTAATTGAAAAGTCACATTCTTTTGTGTCTGAAAGAGTCTGACTCTTTATATAACAGATAACCAGAGAAGTCAGAACCAATAAGGTGGTGAAAAAAGAAGTTAACTATTATCAAACCTCCACCCTCTATATTGATTGTTCTGTGTAAGAAAATCCAACTCTTCCTTAAAATATCACTTTTTTCAACTCAACATTGATCAAAAACAGATTTTTTTCAATCATGTTTACAAGAACATCTTGCAGTCTGGTAACATCTGGATATGTTTATATTTTTAGGAATAATTAATGTTTTAGAAAATGTTGAATGACGGTTACATATAGGCCTACAAAACAACCAAATATTTAACTATTAATTTTCTATCTTCATCAATTTCAGAACAACCATTTCTTATGTCAAATGCAAAGCCCCATTTGTTACTTGTGCTGTGGTTTGGTTAACCAGCTCCTGGGTTTTCTCTTTTTCTACCATTTAAACAAAAAGAAAACTAGAAAAAAAATATGCAATCTTTCTCCATTTCTCTGTCAGTGTGAATTCCTCCACCCTCCAGGCTGCTTTTCACCTTCTGTCCTCTTCCTTCATGTCATCCTCTTTCTAACAACATTTTGTCTTGGAGTGTGACTTGTTTTTGAGCTGTGCTGTCACCCAGAAATTCAGGTCAGTGAAACTGAGCTCATGTTTCAGCCATGCCACAAAACATTTTTTAATAGTTGCCCCTTGATGCATCTCCTTTTTTCTGCATTTGGCAGCCATTCATAAATGTAAACAATCCTACAGCCTGCACACCTACTATTTTTCCAATTTCCTTTTTATTGCAAATACAACACAGAATCATAAATCTCCATTTGATGGTATGCTCAGAAAAGATAAAGTGGCCTTCTCTTCATGGCGAACTGAACTAAATTTCTACTGCTGTGTAGCTGATGAAGCTCACTTCCCTGTCTAACACAAAGGGCTTCCACATAGTAAATCCTCACCCACACAATGGAAATAATCGAATTACTTCATGCAGAGCTCCTTCACAGCCTGGGATTAAGACAAAATAATTCTCGCTGTTGCAGCAGCCGAAGTCATTGAGCAAACCAAAGTCTTATGCTCTGCTCCTCCAGGATTCAGAACAAATGTAAGCATAGAGCATCTATGCTGTCACCTTAAAAATGGCTCCAATGGAGAGAAGCCTAAATATTGCTGAGAACAATACTGAGGGCCTCCATGACAGGCTAATCAATCAAAACAGAACTTGCCTTATGCTTGAAGGGACAGTTCATTATGAATTTGTTTTTTTATTGGCAAAAGTCTACATATCCTGCCACAGTCAAATAACATATAAATTAAAAAATGAAATTAAAAAATTAAAGTGTCCCCACTGTTAAGTTGAGTAGAGCTGTTTATAATTACATTGGTAATCGTGCACCAATTTAAGCTTCCATGTTGCATTGAGAGCTTAAATCATGGTAGCCGAAGGCAGACAAATATGGTTAAGCATTTTACCTTTATCTGAATACTTCTTGTTAGAGGAGAAGTATTAAACAGGTAAATATGCTGAGATCATTCTACCTCCCATTTTCTTTTGAAATGGAGGACCATCCATACTGTTTGGAAAGTGAGAGGGAAGGAAAAGGAACAGAGAAAAGAATAAAAGAGGTAAAAACCGGGAGATAAGCCTACATTTGTGAAGTTTTTACCACATGGAGACATTCATAAAATGTCTTGGGCTTCAAAATGGATGCAGTGAATGGAGGCTTTTTGCTGGAAAGGTAAGTTAACTGAATATATGGGGGATGGTGCAGAACAAGGTCCATCACAGTTATTGTTTGTTTCTCTTCACTCAACCAAGTAACCTTTTGGTTCTTTTACAGTAGATGTAGTCTCTGACAGATTTTTCATGTGTTTCATCATTAGTTTTAGCTAATTATTTATTTCAAAAGAAAATTTGATAAGCATAGTCTCTCTAGTCAGAAAAAATAGAATATTTTGCCATTTTCAAGTCATGTCATTTTCTTGGCATGGTTTGATGACTAAAACCAAAAACATTCAATGTAAAAAAAAAAAAAAAAGGACACTTGAACACATGCAGGAAGTGGATGTCACGACATTTATGACACTCTTAGACTTAAACAACTTTTAATGTCATTGTGTATACATAGAGAGAACATTTCAGAACATTTCCATACCTTAAAGTGCAGTAGTGATCAAATGTAAACAGTGTGGGAGATAAAAAAACAGAACAAAACATGGTGTCTGTAGAAGTCATTAAATGCAGCGAGGCACCAGAGCCTGTGTCTTGGGCATTTATTATTCATTTGGTGCACCGCTATTGGAGAAATTCTTACATAATAGTGATTTAATATTCTATTTTCCCATAAAAAATGTGAAGGTCATCATAATCACACAGTTTTTGTTCTTTAACTTATAACGCTTAAAACCTTTGAGTAAGGTTGTTCATTCAGCTTGTCTGATATCTAGCTTGAAAAGTTAACATTTTTGCTCTTTCCCAATGAGACAGAATAAATCCTGATGTGGCCTTTTGTTTGAAAGATTTGTTACTTTTAATAAACAGTCACAATGAAAGGAAGGGAGAGACAGAGGCAGTGTGAGGTTTGACCTTAACGTCCATAGCTGAGAATCTTTACTTTAAAACAATACAATATGAAGAGATATAATCTGTCTGCAACAAAAGGTATCATGTCAAGGATATGGTTTTCTCAGCTAATCAGCTTTTGTTCTTAGAGAGAATCTGGACAGGAGACGTTGGTATAAAGCATTATATCAGAGGTTAAGATTACCAATTTATTCCTGCTAAATATCATAACCCTTTAGTTTAGATTTTGTTAGTAAGTAATTTTATAGGTTTAGACCAAGAAAAATTGCCTTGGTTATAAATGTCTAGGTTTAGACCTAAAGCAAAAAATTAATTACAAAAACTTTCATAAAAAATATAAATTCAGCACAAGCATTTTTTAAAATCTGCTGTCAGCTTTAATTTTCTTTGAAACGTAAACAAGTGACCTGCAAGTTATTGTGAGAAGGTGCGGTGGACTCAGTGACTTTTACAGGGTGATTCCTTGAAAATCAGTCAGATCAAAGGTGACTTGGCCCAAGATTTCCCTAAAGGTATTGGTTTGTTTTTCTTCAATCTGGATAGAGAGCCAATAAGCTGATTCAGCAGTTTGGGGCTCTTAATGATTTGTAATTTAATGTACGAGCATTTACCTAGATTGATGCTTTAACTTATTAGACAATCTTAAAGCCTCGACCTCATACAGTGAAAATAAGAGTGCACTCCAAAATTTGGGGTAGATATATCCTGATTAGATCTCACGATCAGCCTCTTCATCCATAA